GAGAACGAACGCAGATAAAAAAGACTAGTGATGAATATTAGTGAATATAGCCCAGAGAAAGAGGAGATAAGATGAAGAAAGAGAAGAGGATGAATATCAGAAGAGACGCAGAAGAAGAGAGAGAGAGAAAGAAGATCGACGAGAAGAGAGAAAGAGAGATGAGAGGAGAGAGACGGTGCGGCGAGAGTGACGCGCGCGCCGGGCGGACCCTGAGCGAGAGAGAGAAGAGAGAAAGATGAGACGAGAGCCGGATGAGCGATGAGAGGGAGAGAGAAATGAGAGAGAGAGAGATGCAGAATGAGTAAAGAGAGAAGAGATGTGAGAGAGAGAGGAGGGAGATGAGAGAGAGAGGAGAGAGAGAGAGAGGGGCCGGGGGCGTACGTGTACAGCGCTCTCGTATGTCCCATTTTTTATCGCATTGCAACACATTTTACCCACTAAACTAACGGAGTTCGACGCTCGGCTGAAACAATTACGTTTTTCATCGAAGTTGAAATTCCCAATTTGGTCGCGCCGGCCGCCTCTCCCCGCCTCTTGCTCGCGAGGCGCGTTTCGCGCTCTCACTCTCTCCCGCACACTAGTTACTGCTATCTGCTGTACACTAACGTTCTGCGTGACGTGTACGCTATAACTGCTATGCAATTCATTATGCGGTGCTATATTGTTTAATAATATATGAATAACGTTAAATGATTTAGTCGCGTATTAAACGCGGTCGTATCCGCGCGGTGGCACGTTTTATATACTACAGTTCGTTCTCTTTTTTTACTTTCTACTCTCGCTAGCCATCCATCTTCGGCTCTACGGCTGCTGCTGCTTCTTGTTGTGTGTCTTTCTTCTTTTTTTTTTTTTTTTTTGTTTTTTTTTTTTTTTTTTTTTTTTTTTTCTTAGCAGCTATCGGTTACACACACGCACAGCACGCGCCACAACCACACACACACACACGCACACCACCAACACCACACACACACAACACACACAAGCCGCACCGCACACGTACCACGCACACACACACACACACACACACACAACACACACCACTACACACACACCACCACACACACACCACACAAGCGCAAACACGCCACAGCGCACACGTACACGCACACAGTATCACGCACACGCACACCGCACACGTACGCAACGCACGCACGAACGCACGCACACACCACACACACACACACACAACACACACACCACACCCTCTCGTCGCGAGGACTGTCTCACGCCCGGGGGTTTTCTCGTTTTATTTAATTTATTGAGTATTAAAACAGCGTTATCCTAACATCGCTTGCTTGTCGACGTTTTTCTTATCTCTCAGTAGCTTTTGAGCGTCGATAGGGGGCGCAGCGATCAGTCGTGCAATCGTCATACGTCGAGGACATACATCAGCGTCATCATACGTCGAGGACATACATCATCGAGTCGTCATCATTACGTCGAGGACAATACCATTTCGCTCATCATACGTCGGATGGAGGACATACATCAGCGTCATCATACGTCGAGGACATACATCAGCGTCATCATACGTCGAGGACATACATCAGCGTCATCATACGTCGAGGACATACATCAGCGTCATCATACGTCGAGCGCACATTACATCAGCGTCATCATACGGATCGTGAGGAGCATACAGTCAGCGTGCATCATTTACGTCGAGGGACCATACAGTCAGCTGTCTCATTACGTCGAGGACATACATCAGCGTCATCATACGTCGAGGACATACATCAGCGTCATCATACGTGGAGGACATACATCAGCTGCGTCATACATACGTAGTAGGTGCATCGCGGCCACCCAACAACAGCAACAGTAGCCAGACGGTGGTACAGTAGCAGTACAGTCAGCCGCGCCTAGCAACAGCAGCAGCCAAGCAGCAACATGCGAGCAGCATCTCCAGCCCAGCAGCGCTAGCAGCTAGCAACAGTCAAGCAGCAGCGCGAGCAAGTCAGTAGTAGTAGTAGTAGTAGTAGCTAGTACATTAGTGCTAGTAGTAGTTAAGCCACCGCAGCCAGCAGCAGCAGCAGCAGCAGCCGTAAGCTAGTAGGCAGCCAGTCCTAGTAGCATTTAGTAGTAGTAGTTAGCAGCTCAGCAGCAGCAGCAGCAGCCAGCAGTAGCGAGTGAGCAGCGGGGAGTTAGTGCGAGTAGCTAGCAGCAGCAGCCAGCAGCTATTAGTTAGTATAGTTAGTTGTAGTTAGGTTAGTAGTAGTAGCAGCAGCAGCAGCAGCAGCTCAGTAGCAGTAGCAGCCAGTAGTGCAGCAACTAGCAGCGTAGCAGCCGAGCAGCCATGCAGCACAGTTAGCTAGCCAGCGACGCTAGCTTAAGTAGTAGTAGTAGTAGCAGTTAAGTTAGTTACGTAGCAGCAGCAGCAGCAGCTAGCCAGCAGCGCATGCAGCAAGCGAGCCAGCACGCAGCAGCAGTAGCAGTTAGCAGCCTAGTCAGTAGCAGTAGTCAGTAGTAGCAGCAGCGAGCATCAGCAGCAGCCAGCGAGCAGCCAGCAGCGAGTAGCCAGTAGCAGCAGTTTTAGTGACAGCGCAGCAGCGCAGTAGCGAGTAGCAGCAGTAGTAGCAGCGACGCCGCGGTGAAACGTAACGGGAGTTGTTTTATATCTTTACTTATAGCAGCTTATGCGCTCTAGGCGCAGGTTTATGTCGATTGTGCAAATATCAATATATATCAAGAATATATATATAATATATAGCATGGCTGCGTGGTGCGTTCCAGCAACTTCCATCTCTAGCTACGGGCACTCGGTCACTGTGGACAAACCACGCAAGTAGATGACCTATATCAAGAGCGTATTTTAAGAATGCCCATTCTTAATTTGCGCCCCCCCCCCCCCCCATTAAAGATTGCCCGCATTTATTATATATAGGTCTTATGATGTGTGTATGTGTGTGTGTGTGTGTGTGTGTGTGTGTGTGTGTGTGTGTGTGTGTGTGTGTGTGTGTGTGTGTGTGTGTGCGCGCGCGTGTGTATGTGCGTGCTTGCGTGCGTGCGTGTGTGTGTGTGCGCGCGCGTGTTACACTATTATATAAAAACAGACTATATGACTGACCGAAGGGCGTGGTGTGCCTGGGGGCCAAAATTTAAGCAAGAATCATCGGTGGTCATCATAATCGGAGATATGTGGCGTATGACTCCAATGACGTCACGCCCCCCCCCCCCGATACTGTGGTGCGGTTAAGGGTAAGGCGGCACGCGCTCGAGGGCTGAATTCTCTCAGCGATAGTTTGGTCTGGAGCGACTCAGCGTCAGTGGACATAG